TTATGACTGATTATATCAAATAAGGTAGGATCATTGGTAGCGATACTGTCCTCATCAAACGATTCCTTGATTTCTTCTTTAATATTGAGTGAATTGTAGTCAATTGAAGCAGTCACTTCTTGGCCACCTGCACAATCTAATTCTCGTTTGATATCATTATGGCTGATTCTGTTCAGCAATGTGGCATCATTTGTAGCAATACAGTCCTCATCAAATGATTCCTTGATTTCTTCCACAATAGGGCTAATTGATTCCTTATTTGGTGGTTGAACACAATCCTCTGTATCTACACAACTCATATTGTCAAGATATAGAGGTTCTTATATGAGTACCTGTGCAAGATCGTCCATTCTTGATGAGCTTTGATAATTCTTCTTTATCGAGTCGCAGACGAGATAAAGAAACATTATCAAAGCGAGTCAAGAATGGACGATATTGCACAGGTATGAGTACAAGAACGTTTTTCTCATATGACTCTGTGTATTATGCTTTATTTTCACGTTTTTATGATAAAACTGGGTGGAAAATAGCTTCAGATTAATGGAACTTCATCTTTCAATAGTTATGACGTCATAACAATATTGTAGAAAATACATGGATACATGAGGCAACAAAGCTCGATTGTTATGACGTCACAGCTTAGGATTGTAGAATGAGCATGGATACTCATTGTAACGGTGTATCCGTTGCTATGTTGTTGATGTTTATAGACCAGTGATGTCACAAGTAAATCTCATCTTGCACGTGTGACTTTTTAGGATGAAAGATGGCAATATCTTGCATGGGGTAAAGATACCTGTATCTTTGTTAGTCATATGAGAAAATAAAATATTTGATTCAGTTAGTGTCTCTGAATGTATCTTATGAACTAATTTAATCATTTGAACTGATATCCTCACCTCCAATATAATTTGTTCAAAGGAATATATGGAAGTCCCTTAGTTTGAACTGTAATTCAGATCAGTACCCTGGTCCTTTAAATGCTCCTGTGCACTGAAAATACAGCTCAATTATGTTAGGCAGTGATCTTTTAGTTCAGAAAAAGCTGGTGACCTACTATCAACTGCTGCAGAATGTAAACAAATTACTGCTATTACAGTAACAGACTAAAGCCCTTATGTGTAACTTGACCTTCTAACCACTGCTGGCAATCGCCTACTATTATACATGTTATAAGACAGGCTCTTGCTTGTACGATGTTACTAAGATTAGGGTATACACTGAATTTTGGGGGTGGTACGGCGCTAGTAAAACATGTCTGGAAGGCGTTTGCAGGAATTCTTTCAACCTTGGCGTTTTGTTTTAAGGACAACCCCCCCCCCACACACACACGACACCCTATTATATTACTAAGGCACACAGACTAGAGATGCCTAATTTGTTTATTTTGCAGAATATATCAGCGCTACATTACTTTTTTACTCTTTGATGATTCAAAATGTTAGAAAATCATAATGCATCAAAACTGATTGGTGTGGAATAAAGTTTTACAGGCATAAGTGATACATTTCTATGCTCAATGGAGGCAATGGATAAATTGCAATGTTGATGGGCAAATAGATGGCAGTATAGTCATTTTGGTATACCAAAAGTAACCATTGCATAGTATGGAGAAAATTGATAAAAGTTATAACAAATAATCCTGATTGGATCAATGTAAACTCTTATTTACAGACAACAAGATGATCTTCTTTATAATACAAGTATTAATCTGATTCAACTTTGAAAGTTTGATTATTAAAAAAGTTTTAAAATATTGTTTCTATGGTATTATAGGTAATTTGATTTAAGACTCCATGCGAAGTTTGAAAATATTTTTTATCATTCAATTACTATTTTTCATGACTTTAAAAGTAATTTTAGTGATTTGGGGAAAATTGGAGAAAGTAATCATCTTTCATAATTCAAATATTCCAATTTCCCGCAATTTGTCAAAAATAAAAGTTAATTTTTTAATCAGCAATAATTAAATGTCATATCAAATGTGCCACTTAAATGTTTTAGCACATTAAAATAAGTGTATATATAATATATTAATATTGCACTTTGGTCTTCTGATTGTTTATTTTTACGATTTGATTGATAAATCATATGAATCCTTGTATGTTTTTTTAAAAATTAAAGATGAGAGATGGTTCTCCAATCACATTGACTGAATCTTGAATTTCAAAGACATAAATCAAGATTGTTTCTACATTCATCTAGTATATTCACATTGATTTGTGAATTTAGCGGATCCGCCAAATTGTAAGTAAAGGTTCCCCTAATTAAGAAGTCGCCAAATTCAATATTTCATATTTCAATCGTAAATATGTTTGCATATACATTTCAACATTGCAAGACCACCAAATTAAATAGTGCCAAATTAAGTAGTACAAGATAGAAAAAATTATGAGCGAGAGATGCCTTACTTGTTTTACTGTCATTTTGAAGGGCAATAGGTGGACCTTGGGCCTTCGGCCAACTATAAATGACGTTATTGTACTATTATATCCTAAACTTTCAGCATCATACATTAATGTTACGTCTTAAAATGATTGCTGTAGCAACGCAGGGCAGATGGGCCAGACTGGATGGGCGGGTCGGGAACCAAGTTTTCAAAAAAGCTCTGGAGTTGTTCTATTTATATTTCTTTCTTTTATATTATAACAGATTTAGGGAGTTTCACTACTAGTTTCACTGAGATTGAAGTTTTTCAATTGCCTTCGTTATAATATCTTATTTCAACACACTGGATATTATGTAAAAGTATTGATGTGTATTTCTTATTCCCGACAGTCGAATTTCATATCAAACAGTTTTACAGTGGTATCACAATGTTATTGCTTCCATAAATGCAACACATTTACCAGATTTTAGATTGGACTTTCTACACGATGATAAAATATTTTGGTGATATACTTTAATTACTACTAATTAGTATAAACTATTGATTAAATTGCGGAAATCTGCTGCATGAAATCTGCTGCTAGTGAAAAATCTCGAATCCTGGTAATTGACTTTGGACAGCTAAATAAAATCTAACATTAAATGAAATCATAAAAATATGCTTCGTTTATTTTTTGTTTGGTTGACAATGAACTCAATGAAAATTGATGTTTAAATAAGAAATTCAATTTCGCAAAAATTCATATCCTTAAGCTAGACAAAAGCTACTTTGTTTACTCAACAGATAATAATTGGAAGGACTGGATGGATAAGTGGCAGACAGTTCTTAATTCCTAATGAAGACAAACCGATAACCACTTGGATTAATAATCACTTGACTCAATAATCAGTTGGATTTTCTGCCATTGGCTACACATTAATAAGAATTGGTTATCGTAATAACCAGTGGAAACACTGGTTATTGTTGATTAATAAGTCTCGATAATCAGCGATAACCAGCAATAATAGTCTCGATAATAGGTTTTAACCAGGTAATAATCATTTATTCACTGATTATTTGTGATTAAAATTGTTTATATTTAGTCACTTCGCCCAGTGACAGGAATGGCGAAAAAACTGTATTCCTACAGTTTAGTACGTAAAAGGTTTAAGTATTGGTCAGGCAAAGATTCATTCTATACCTATACATGTTCATTACATGGCATGCTGTACAAGATATGTGTTGACCAATCGTAAAACAGACTACCCTTTGCATTCGTTTGACTTCACTTCTTAAAAGAGAGCTTCGTAGTTTAACTAGACTCTGCATGCAGGGTAAAAACAGACAGATTTCCATTTCTAACAAGCAAGATCATTCATCATTACATGTTTTGCCTGTTAACATGTGACACTTACCAAAATTAGTTTACAGAGGCTATTCATTTGTCAGACATATCATAATAATGATTTTTTACCTCACAATAGTAGGAAGACAAGACATCACCTGTATAACACTCAGGCATGACATGTTTACGTTATCGTTTCTTAAGATCAAATAGCAGTGGTTAGGACACATGAAAATAAGAGATACCACTCACATGTTTGACAGATGAACAACATGTGTTGTGGACTGACATGCTTGGATCTTGTAATTTCGGCCATTGGAACGTGTAAAAATAAAGCTTAATATCCTATACAGTATACAGATTACAAAGTGCGAAATCGTGTAAAACAGTTAGTTAGTTAGTTATATATTTATTAGAGTCTCACGCTGAATTTTTTACAATCATATAAAATCAATACTAGTAAATAATTAAAACAGCAGCCCAGCCGGCATCGGCTTATGAGAGACTTAAAACTTGTAATTACTAAAATAATTCTCTTCTCTTCCTTCTCATGTGTCCAATGGTTTTAGCAAGTAATCGTTGTAAAGAACAGATAATACAGGTTTTATACCAGTTAACATTGTCATTTTAGTACGTAATCAAGAATCATTGACCTGAAAATAGCTCTTACATTTCGATGTAAATTGAAGACAACTCAAAATTATATGACGTTTTGTCCTCACTAATACATGTATGTGCCCCTACAAAAGACATATTGTCATAAACTAAAAGTAACTGCATTTCATATACGAAACAACCACAAACTTCCGTAATTTTTCGAAATATTATATGAAGCAATTATATGTGGTGGAAATAGAAAATATTTAATGCAAACTAAAGGTATCAAACTTAACAAACGTAAATCACGCAAAAGACATATTGTCATAAAATGAAAGTAACTGGATTTCATATACGAAACAACCACAAACTTCCGTAATTTTTCGAAATATTACAACTATGAAGCAATTATTTGTCGTGGAAAATGATAAGATTTAACACAAGTTAAAGATATTAAACGAACGTAAATAAAAACAATCTATCAAGTAAATGTCTATGCCCATGGTATCCATTGAGATATGGTGTCCGGAAAGTAGGTCAAAACAAAAAGTTCTCCTTTAATGAACTAGTTATGAAATAGGGTGAGCGTGCAAGTTCAGAAGTTTATTTTGTACCATTATCCAAATAGACCAGGAGGAAGACACACTGACGACACCGGCATTCGAAATCTTGGATTACAAGTGTATGATCGTCTTTCTAAACCCGATCCTGAACACTGAATAGAACTGCCTGAGTAAGAATATAGTTCTGTCCGACACCTCCTCTGTGTCATTCGAAATGGTTTATCACATGGTTCATAAAATGACCAAGACCCCCATGTGCTCCATTTACAGTACTCTAAAAGTAGAATGTATTTGGCTTTATTCATCAACATTGCACTTTTTATGCCTGAAATGTTTGTAATTTACTAAAATAGTAAGATGGCATCCTGAATCCATTTTATACAATTTCAAAATATTTACAACCTTACATTTCCTAAAATAACTACTTTGGGAACTGCTTTAATCACTAGTTGCCCGGGTTCGTGCATCATACCGAAACCCATTATACCGACGCGCATTATACCAAAACCCATTATACCGAGGCGCATCATACCGAAACCCATTATACCGACGCGCATTGTACAGAAAGGCGTTATATCGAATGTTATAATACCGACGCGCATTGTACCGAAAAGTTTACCTGCGTGTAACTACAACCAATTTGTATATGCTTGTAACCTTTAACACGGTGTCCAACCCAAACGCTCTTACATGTACGACGGAGCGTTTCATTACTGAAGCTAAACAAAGAAACGCTCCGGAGTAGGAAAAATGGCGGGCGGGAATGATGGACCGTCTGACGATTTCCCAAATAATGGGAATAAGAGGTATGTATTACTTATTTCGAGTATACAATTCGATGGGTGTGATATTCATGTTGTACTTGGCTGGTTGTTGACGTTTGAAGCAACTTGGAAGTGCTGTATGAAGCAGTATAGTTATCAAAATTCATAAACGAATTTGTCAGTCTACCGGTCAAAACCACTTTTGTCGAGACATGTGATTAGTTGTGTAAAGATTAGAGCATCAGAGTATATTTTGGGCAATTTACAAAGCTTCAGCGCACCATACATTATCGTAATTGTGATTTGATGACCGAAATCCAGTCTTAAAAATGATAACAATCTCATATTAAAGAAACGCTCCGACCTGGTTAATACAGTGAACTGGAAACGCTCTGGTTCTAGTCTAGATATGTTTAGGCATTTAGGAATTGACTTTTCTTTTCAGGAAGAGAAAGAAAAGATCTATATATCCCTTGGCATCAAAAGAAGAAAGATTAATTCACATATAAATGTTTTGTTTCTTTGTCGATAGTTTTAGCACACATGTAGGCATAGCATCTGATGTAGGCTTCAGTCCGCTAGTTGCATGTGTAGCACCACCAGGTTGGGAAATTTCAATTTAACTAACAAGTACAAAACGTCTTTTAGAGATAGATTCGATTGCGAACTCTTCTCTAATGATCTGAAAATAAATCAAAACAAAATGGTAAGAGCGTTTCTAAAATTGTGTCCAAAATCGACGGAGCGTTTCGAGGAGAACAAGTGATTTTTCGAGAACAAAAGTAATGGATTTGGACTGGAATTTTAGCAAATGAGAGTTTGCAATCAACTACTTTGACAGAAAGATTGACGTTTTCATTTAAATACTACTTTAGTTCGTAATTTATGATTCGTTCCATCTATTCGTTTGCTTTGATCGAGCAAATAACAGTTTACCACCAGAAGTTGAATAAATAAGATCTTTGCTCGGGGTATTGTTCATCGAATGGTACATAATATGTCACCATAACGTATGATATGTAGGAGAAACGAGTGAAACAATACTTACGGTCATAGTGGGATATTCAAAAGCCGCCATTTTATTTCGCTGCGCAGCGTTTCCACGTGAATGAAACGCTCCGTCATTCATGTAAGAGCATTTGGGTTAAACACAGTGTTTAAGAGGCAATGCAAGCGCAAAGTGATTGATAGACAAATTAGCGAACACATATTTAAAGTTTATTTTGAGTAAATGTTACAATTTTCAAGTTTTGATTCATTAATTACGACGAAACGTGTTGTTAGGTAGGGAATCAGGTCCACAGTATTGAAGGCTTTGTATAAAAAACCTCCTACCTCATACCCACCTACCCACGTACGTTGGACATGATACAGTCTTTGAAGGGTTCAACTTTAAAGATCTTAGTTTATTAAATCTTAGTTTATGATGAATTATAGATGCATTTGTAACGACCTTTGATAGCAAGTTGCTACTACATCCCAGCTGGGTTCGATTTCCACTCGGGGCATCGAGTTTAGCACACTTTCTTTCAATTTCTTTATCTGGCTTGTTGGACCTATGCTCGCGGTCGTTAGTTACGTAGTTATTCCACTGTTGCGCCCTCGGGTCATTACACATTACAATGCACCCATATGCTTTTAATTATTTATGGATCTGTCATCCGTCTAGTCATAAAATAAAGCCGGAATTGTTGAAATGTTAATAATTATAGCTATTTTAAAATTTAAAAATCTTTAAAATTAAACCCTTCAGTGACTTTATCATGGGTACTATTATTGGGTATGAGGTATTTTATACAAAGCCAAGTCTTGAAGCAAGACTGAAGCGGACAATCGCGATCTGTTTGATGGTTTATAGTTATCCCGTGCCACTTCCACTACTATAGTCCTGGCACGGGATGAGTTTATAGAAGGTTACTCTACCGAGCTCACTGGCGGATCTGGGGGGGTGACCCCCCCCCCTGGGTGGTCCCAGAAAAAAAGATTGGGCCCAAAAAAAATTTGAGCCAAAAAAGGCACTAAGACCCCAACGGCCCCTAAGGCAGATATATATTATTGGCCTCGGGATAATCCCAATATCCTGAACCTCAATCATATAGGATAATCTCTATATACTAACTACATCGTGTGAAACATGGCTGGGTCCTTGTTTCTGTAGCAGTACCAGACACACAATGTGTGTATCTTCTGGTTCTTGTATCACGGCGTGTTCCTGGTCCACATGTACTACTACATCGTCCAATACTCCATGTAGACCATGCTGTCCACTGGCAATCTGGGGAACATTTTTATTAATATAGTTGTGAATTTTGGAATTTCTTATTAGTCGGTTGATACTAAATAATCCCAAAATATATTTCATTCATTTAACTTAACACCATCGATAAACTTTGATCCTGAACCTGAATCAGGCCCGTAGCCAGGGGGGGGGGGGGGGGGGGTTCAGGGTTCGGGCGAACCCCCCCCCCCTCCCTGGCCAAAATTTCTTTCAAAATCATGCAGTTTTTCACCATTCTGACTATTTTTTGAGTGATTTTTGGCCAAATTTGCCAAAGTGAACCCCCCCTAGAATTTTTTGGAAAAGTGAACCCCCCTTGGAAAATTCTGGCTACGTGCCTGCTGAATCTACCTGTCTTTATTCTTTTATTGTACACGAAGCCTCAACTTATTTTCACACTACTATACCTAACACCTAGAAATGCATAAGATACGTTGTTTGTCTAATTGAATTGTTAAATATATTTTTGAAAGTGCCTTACTAGCATCTAATTTTCAACCGATAAACCATTCATAAGGAACAGACAAATAAAAACAAATACATAATCATTACTAATAAGCCAAATGGGTTGCTCATGAACACCAAATGCAAGGTATAGTAGTGTGTATTTTGATTGAAATGTTATTAACTGATAGACTTTTTAAATATTAATTTGTTTGTAATGTTCCAAAAACATAATTTTGTTTATTTGTTTTATCATTTATCAGGTATTGTTTGTGTGTTGGGTGAAATAGTTGTCTAAATATAAACTTACTGTCTGCACTGTTTCCTTTTTCACCTTTTTGACCCTTTTCACCTTTTGCACCAGTTGGCCCAGTAGGACCAGTTGGCCCTCGATCACCTTTTGCACCAGTTGGCCCAGTAGGACCAGTTGGCCCTCGATCACCTTTTGCACCAGTAGAACCAGTCAGCCCTAGATCACCTTTGGCACCAGTTGGACCTCGATCACCCTTTGGACCAGGTGGCCCAGTGGGACCAATTTGTCCTCGGTCGCCTTTTGCACCAGCTGGCCCAATAGGTCCTCTATCACCCTTTTCACCAGGTGGCCCAATAGGCCCTCTATCACCTTTTTCACCAGCTGGCCCAATAGGCCCTCTATCACCTTTTTCACCAGCTGGCCCAATAGGCCCTCTATCACCTTTTAGACCAGTAGGCCCTTGATCCCCTTTAGGACCAGTTAACCCTTGATCACCTTTTGGACCAGTTGTTCCTCGATCACCCTTCGGACCAGGTGGCCCAGTGGGACCAATTTGTCCTCGGTCGCCTTTTGCACCAGCTGGCCCAATAGGCCCTCTATCACCCTTTTCACCAGGTGGCCCAATAGGCCCTCTATCACCTTTTTCACCAGCTGGCCCAATAGGCCCTCTATCACCATTTAGACCAGTTGGACCAGTAGGACCTCGATCACCTTTTGCACCACGAGGACCAGTTGACCCAAGATCACCTTTTACACCAGTTGACCCTCGATCACCTTTTGCCCCAGGAGGACCGATTGCACCTTGTATCCCAATAGGCCCTTGACTACCATTTGTACCATTTAAGCCTGTATCACCCTTCATTCCTGTTTTTCCTGGTACCCCCCTCTTTCCTGAAAATCCACGTTTTCCACGGGGACCAGGTTTACCAGTTTCACCCTTTCTACCCTTACACTTTTCATCACATTTTTCTTCCAATTGTTCATTAAGGATTTCTAGTTTGATAACATTTCTTTCCAAAGCTTTTATTTCTGTTGCTTGATCATCAATATATCTTTGTTGCTCTTTAACCGTGCTTGAGAGTTGTTTTACACTTTCAGTTAGTTGTTCGAAAGCCTCATCAGTTGGTGTTGCTATAGCATTTCTGGTGTAAAATTCCGAAATGCTTAGAAAAGTTATTCCAAACCATGTAACATGCATTCTTGTGAAAGGGAACATAGTTAAATACACTTTGTTTACAGCAGTTGCCTGAATTAATATTATGATCGTAAATTATTACTTTTTTATACTAAAAAGTTCATCTTTATCATAAATCAAACGGTCCCCTTGATGTCTAAAAAACTGAAAGATGCAGATCCATTATTGATTCTTAAATACTTAGTATTAAAATGTTAGCTCACTTTTTAAGCATTTTATAGTGCATTTGTACAGTAATTCTTTTCTAAATGTTATAAATTATACCATACCGAAGCATATGTGATTTATTCCTATATACAGTATACTTGAAGAATAATCAATGACATAAACTACTAACTTTGTAACTCTTAGGGTCTGCATCTTTAGTGTAAAAACATGAGATCAAGGATCTGTCATCTCAAGACATGTGTTCTTGAGCGTGGAAAGGGTAAATGTCAGAGGCAATAAAAATTTATCCATGTCATGTCACAGAATTTAAACTATATTGGGTAGATATTGTATCAATTGTGTTTCATAAACAGATGTAGATGCTATTCAACTCAAAATGAAAAATTGTTACTAAAGTTACTGGTTCACATATCCTATGAACAGACAAGTTATCTTAAACTTTGTAAAGTATAAAGGGCCTATGGAATGTTTGAATCATTTTATAGATAACTAGTATATTGTAGTCCTTTATTGATATTGGAAATTCTCTTCATTAAGTTCCTTTTTAAGTTTCTTTTGAAATACCTCTGTACGGAAATGTTAAAATTATACAAAGTGACTCAAACAAGGCATTAACATGCAAAATGTCACAACCTGACATTTGTTACAGATGCCAAACGGTACACCATCCACCAAATGCTCAACACCAACAAAAAAGTTGGAGTTACTATAACAATATGTCACCACATGTGGTGGTAACATAAAAATGTTTCTCACATTCTGACTTGATTCTCACAATAAGGCCGCAGTGAAATTCAACCTTAATTTAAAGGAGAGTAATCTCACTCTATATTTTTCAAATTGTTCAGTTGTTTTAACATCAATCCTTAAACATAAAACTAATATTATCGCCAGAATATTTTTAATAGCATTTTGCCATGTTAAGATTTACATGGTAGGACAATTTTCATCTTCGTATTTATAGATAATAACTAATGATTCTTTAATATAGTGTATATTTTTTTTTATTTACAACCCACATAATATATTTACTGCAATAATTTACCTGTTTTCCCTACAAAGACCATGTGCAGCTATCCTTTCACAAACTTGCTTATTTACCAGCCTGTATTTACACAACTATTAAACAGTGGCAGACCAAAGCTACAGTCTAGTAATGTCCAATCTGCTTAATCAGAGTCCTTCGCTAAGCACGTCTCCTCGTCTCCTTAATATCTAAACTAAAGTCTACTTTGTTCATAGGTGTTTCCTGTTTTGAGGGTGGGGCATCACCCGCTCCACCCCCTCTCTCATTTGTAGAGTCATTAACAGAGTCTATTTCAAGAGCTAGCACATAAGCTGAGTCATGATCCTTTAAGCCATTCTTGGGCTGGCTATCTGAGCTTCTGGATCTGTTTGATGTGCGTGGATTGATGTTCTTCCCCGACTTTCGACGTTCCTGTCCGTAGTAGGGTAATGAAGCCACAAGAGTGGGCTAGGTCTAGAGAGTTAAAGAGTTCTTGTATTCCACTGTGTTCAGGGGGATACACCTGAAAGACAGAGGATGCTTGACCAAAGGAAGAAATAAGTCAAATTATTACTTCAAAAAGACATAATGGAGAAGAAGTATGTTAAAGATCTCATGATCTCGATGACTCGTCAAGAAACTGAAGCTTATTTCAGTCGGTTTGAGGACACTTGTTCCCTCGCTAAATCTAAGACCACAAGTTTTGTAGTTATCAATGGTGACTTTAATGCACGAAGTAAGCATTGGTGGACCAATGATGCCAATAAGTATGAAGGTGATATTTTACTTAATTTGCTTCAAAAGCTTGAATTAACTCAACTGATTAATGAGCCTACGCGAGTAACTTTAACAAGCAGATCCTGCATTGATCTGTTAATTTCAAATGTCCCTAATATGATAACATCTAAAATGGTAATGCCTCCAATAGGCAATACAGATCATAGCACTTTAACTTTTGAAATTTTAACTGGCACTCCAAAGAATCCAACTTATTTTCGCAGAATATGGCAATACTCCCATGTCGATGTTAATGCTTTAAATGACGCTGTACGCAATAGTAACCTTTGTAATATCATTGAAAATTCAGATGACATGAACCATGTTGGGGAAAGTTTCTCCAATTGTCTACATAATATTTATTCAAGATGTATACCAAACAAGTTGATTAAAGTTAAATCAAATGATAAACCATGATAAGATTCGAACTCAAATTAATAAAAGAAATAAATACCATTACAAATTTAGACGTTCAAACAGCCGGGAACATTTTCTGAAGTATCAAGAACAGTGTCATATAGTGGATGAAGCAATTTCTAGAGCCAAAGATGAGCATGAAAAGCGGACAATTAATAAAATGGAAGCCCAACAGTTTGGATCTAAATCCTATTGGAACGTCGCTTCAAGATTGTTTACGGGATCACGTTTAAGCTCAATCCCTGTTGTAGTTGATCAAAATGGTAAAAATATAATGACTGGCAAAGAGAAAGCAAATATTTTCTTGACACATTTCGTTAAAAGTTTTCATATTGGCGATCATTTTGACCCTGTATTTCTCGACCAGCGTACAAATGAGTCTATTAATTTACTTTCCACAAATAGAGATGAGATTTTTAAAGTTTTGATGTCTCTAAATATTAATAAAGCATCTGGGCCTGACCAGATAAGTAATAGGATGCTCAAACTTTCGGCACCTGCCCTTGCATTTCCTTTGTCCAAATTGATTAATAAGATATTTTTGACCAAACAATTTCCGGATTGTTGGAAACGTGGTAACATCATAACAATCCATAAAAAGAATGATAAAAACACTCCATCCAATTATAGACCTGTAACTCTACTTTGCTGTGTATCAAAGGTTACTGAAAGAATTATTTTTAATCAGTTATTCAAATTTCTTGATGATCAGAACCTTCTTTACAGCTTACAAAGTGGATTTATCCCGGGTCATGGAACTCAACCCCAGCTCTTAGCCATAATTGACTACATATCCGATTGTTTAGATAATGGTGATAATGTAAAAGGTATTTTCCTAGATATTTCAGCAGCGTTTGATTCAATGCCACATATTAATTTATTAAGTAAGCTTTCAAGTTACGGTTTTGGTCAAAACATATGTCTGTTAATAAAATCTTACTTAGAAAATCGAAGAGTTAGAGTTGTAATAGATGGCCAAGAATCTGCATGGTCTGATCAGAACTTTATAAATTCAGGAGTACCTCAAGGGTCTATTTTGGGCCCTATGTTGTTTCTTTTATATATTAATGATATTTCTGATAACATTAACTCAAAATGTTACTTGTTTGCTGATGACACTTCAATCTATCAGCCATTTAATGAGGACAATCTAAACTTCAAGATGGCTCTCTTACAATCTGACCTAAATAATATTTACGAGTGGTCAGAAAAATGGAAATTACATTTTAAGGCCAGTAAAAGTGCTGAATTAACTTTCTTTAATCCTAGAAAATCAGAGTTTCAAACCCCACCAATGATACTTGGGGGTGATCAAATTCCAAAAGTGATCGAACACAAACACCTTGGCTTAATTTTTGACCAAAATTTGACATTCGAACCACACGTTGTCTATGTCACTAACAAAATTGACAAGTTATTAAACCATTTAAAGAGTTTATCAAGAAAAATTAGTGGTAAACACCTTCAGCTTATGTTTAATTCATATATTTTACCACATTTCGATTTCTATGATATATTATATGGCTGCGCAAACTCCATGGTTCTAAAATGTCTCGATCGTTTATATTATAAAGCAGCAACTATTTGTTCAGGTGTCATACATGGCTCTTCAACAATTAAAACACTTCAAACATTAAATTGGCCAACTCTCGAAATTCGTAGAAAATTACATAGGATGCTTCTAGTCTTCAAAGTCAACAAGGGCAAGGCACCTCATTATGTTATTTCCATTTTTGACAAATTTAAAAGACCCCTCAGAAGAGGCCTAAGGTCAAACCTACCGTATCTAACTCCACTGAAAAAGTCTTCTATCAAATCTAGATCATGTATTTATAATTGTTTATCTGAATGGAACTCAATAAATCCGTCCTTCAGGGAATGCACTAATGTTGATACTTTTAAGAGAGCATTAACAAAGAGTTTGGTTAGCACTGATGTAGTTTTAGCGTCTGACTTAAACATGAATAGATCATTTGAAATTTATCTAAATAGAATTAGAGTAGATCTGATATTTAAAGCTCACCTACACGCACACAAATTTGTAAATGTCCTTTCTCCCGATTGTGCTTGTGGCCACATTAATGAAACCACAACTCATGTATTCTTCTCATGTCCTCTTCGACAAAATTATCTAATTACTTTGGAACAGCAGCTTTGTGATCTTGATCTTGGGTATAGGAATTTATGTAAAAATAGGCAGGAGAAATTACACTTCATTTTATATGGCCATGAAACACTCTCGTATGAGCAAAATATTGATGTTTTGAGGTTAAGTGCAATGTTTATCAGGAACTGTGTTGAGGGAACCCAGGCAGACTAGTGACCCACTATAGTATTTTAATCAGATCACTTAAGCCCTTGTAATTTTCTTATTTTTACTTTTGTCAAAGTGGCTTATAATGTTTTTTAACAAAGCCGCTCATATGTATGTATTATTATTACTTGATTTATGGAAATAAAGTTATGATAAAAAAAAGATCTCATGAGGTCATATTCAGAATTAGTTCTATAGTAAATTCAAAATGCTTATAACCTTGATCTATATTTAATATCAAGGAAATGATGTTTTACTGGATATCTAAGGGAAGCTACAATATTTTGTACATTATACTTTCACCTAAAACAATTAATTGCAACTGAGACAATTGTGCCCATTCATACATGTTT